AAGAGGGGACCTCTCCCTACTATGCTATGTTGGAAAAATAGAATCGGACAAAACTCCGGAGAATGGGCTTTCGAGGGGAGTGGAGTCTACCTTTTATCTCTTAAATCCTTCCTCTCTCGAGCTCGTCAACTCAATAGTGGGGGGAAGTGGAACGTTTTTCAAGTCCGCGGACACTTTGTAAAGACGAAATAGTCAAGAAAGCTTAAGCTAAGAAGCAAAAATTATAGGTTAGAGACATCGGTGGGCAGGGAGTGGTTTGCTTTGCCTTTTTGTGGGAAAGCTTGGAAAGTGGGAATATCAGGTACTTAAGTGGAGGGAAACTCTTTCTCGAGTCGAAGGCTTTTTATGGATTTTATGAAGTGCTGATGAAAAGATGTCTCGATGTGAAATCTTCGTTAACATGTTTGACCTCAACAGGACTTTCACATTATGGAATTGTCCTAGAGGGCTTAAGTCCTTTATGTGGTATTCTCTTCTGAACAATACTTTTGATTTGGTCTACTAACAGGAATACCTTAGTTAAGCCTAATCTTCGTATTCTGGATAGTAGTCTGTCTATGGTGCAATCAGCTAGTAACCTGTGCTAGGGATATAAAGAGCTCAGTTCAGATGATAGCCAGTAATCAAGGCAGCCTTTTGGGTCCACTGCGGCAATAGTCTGGTGGACCGCCCGCAGCAATAGTCTGGTGGACCACCTGCAGCAACAAACTACATAAGTAGCTAGTAGTTACTGCTTTTTTTGGTGTAAGTTAAGTGCGGCGTCGTGCCGCTAGTCCCAGCGCCTGGATTCGAGGCTATACTAGAGATGGTGTCTTATGATACACTACAAATTCACCCACCGAACCGGCCTGCGTCGAACGAATATAAACTCTCCAAAACCATCTCCAGTTTTCCATAAAGCGTTCCCTAAAGAAGTGGGGTTTTTGATGGATACTTAAGTAGTTTTTGTCAACCGGTAGTGGAGAAACTGTTCTACCATCACACTTCACAGCGTCACATCCGAATGCACCCGCGATTTCTGGTAAGTATTACTTCGTAACGTTCTCCCCTCGTGGAGACCGGAGGCTGGTCTACGAGACACGTGGCGCACACATGACCAAATGCAACACAGGAAGATATTGACACACAACGATCGAGACCATGAGGACCCATGAATCTATAAACGCGATAAGCGACTAAAAGACATTAATGTAGAGGGTTTTTGAGGCTACTCTAGAGAATACAAAGTCAGAAGCCGAAGGGATGTGACTTTATTGTAACTCATGAATAAGGTTCTCAACCGGAACAACGTTCTTACTTCGAGACGTGAATAATCTCTTAACACCATTTTGGAGATCGTCTCGGGGCAGGAGGAGTTAACAAAAGCCCACCTGCGCCCCGCCTTGCAGATTTTTGGAAACTTAGTCGAGCTTTTTCAACCCCAATATTTTGGCTGCATACGCATAGCAAAGACTCTAAGCTACATAGAGTAGTGGTACATACTTTTCTCTGGTATCCAAGATTCTAGATTCTGTAGTTATTTCCGAGACTGGATTCAATGGCAAAAAAAGCGGCTGGACGTGGCCCCACATCCTTTTGTGATATTCTGGATACGAGACCAGCCCCACATAATAATGGTGATAAGCTAGAGTTTCCCCGCTGCTGGGTGTATTAAGACACTTACACATATAACTCTCCCTGCTTTTATAGCCTTTTGTTATATCTGCGAGATCGAGATGCTAGATGTATCGTTCCTGAGTATTGGGTCCGATTAAAACGTATATAATTATGTGCATGTATAAAGCATACTGTTGGTGTTCTACCCGACTACTTTTACCGTAGATAGCATATATGAGGAAGTAGCCATCCACAATGCGCCGTTCGAAAACATGGGATTTAATAGAACGATGAAAAAGGCCTTAGTAAAACGCCACTTTTGGTGTGCATTTATGTATGTGCTTTTGCACGGGCTTTCTTCAAAGAGGATCCCGAATCAATAAGGTTAGCCTAGGTCAAGACGGCTGACGGAAGTGGAGTAGAAAGAGAAATGGGCTCATTATGCTACATAGCATTTTTGTGATAGCTTTTGCAAAACAGAACTCTATTTCGCCCTCTTCTCGATGATTCGCTTGGTCTTTCGGAACCGCCTCCACATGGCTTTAAAGCCATCACCAATGTGTCGATCTCTCCGGAGAGGGGGGTATGAACATCGTGAGCTAGTCCATAATTTATATTGGTGTGCTACCTCAGATTGCGCTGTTTACTAGTACTATAGTCCACAAGTCGATAACACTAATGCACATGGGCCATATTGTACATGGCAAATTCACGGGCGAGAATCTTTAGCGCTTCCAGCTGACTCTCGTTTGATTCCGTCGGGCGGCGGCGGGCCGCCAAGTTTGGCTCGCGAGCTAGCCAACCGAAAGTGTAAGCGGCGAAAATTAGATTTGCTTCTTTGTAGAACTGACGATCCGGTTAACGAGCGGTTCACGGGGGGGACAGTCTTATAGCGATATCGCGCGATGGAAAGTCTATATATACCTTGGTTTCTAGCACGAGAGAATCATTATTCGAAGGCCAGACTCAAGGCTCCTGGACAACGGTATACCGGTATTCGGTACAGGATAAAAAATTGGCAATCATGTTATCCTACGCATTGGTTTTGCTATCCTCCAACTTGGTCCTCCAAGCTCAGGCATGGAGCCAGTTTACCAATCCAACGATTTGTGTAGGTTCTCTCTATAGACTGGCTAGTCGGCCTAGCTGGTCACTTTGGATATAAACTGCTTTTGTGATCGACGGGTTTGCTAATGTTATACCTTGTGGCATATTAGTGCTCCTTGTTGGATGCGAAATTCCCTGGACAGTCAAAGGTTTATTCCTCGACGGCCCCAGAGTATGAAGAGTTGACCTTCTATTGGAGTATGTACTCGAATTCAAGTATCCCACCTGCATATATATCTTGACCTTTACTAACGTATTCTACGTTTAATCCAGCCCCGACGGCACAGCAGCTCCCTCGATGTGTTTTCACCCCTTATAACACCCAAGATGTGTCAAAGGCAGTGAAATTATTCACTCGCAAAAACTGCCAATTCGCAATCCGAAGCGGTGGCCACAGTTATAACCCCGGCTGGGCAGGTATCGAGAATGGTATTCTCATGTCCCTGGGTTACCTGAACCAAACTACCTATAATCCTACCACACAGATTGCAACTGTTGGAGGAGGCAGCCGTTGGACCGACGTCTATGGCGCTCTTCTGCCGTACAATGTCACCGTCCTGGGTGGTAGAAACTCCGACCTCGGAGTTGGCGGCTACCTCACCGGTGGCGGTATCAGCTTCTACGCTAATGAAAAGGGTTGGGCTGCCGATAATATTGAAAGCATCGAAATCGTCCTCGCCGATGGAAAGGTCATCAACGTCAGCAGGGGCAGCAATCAACATCCTGAACTATTCCGCTCTCTTAAGGGAGGTTCAAACAACTTCGGAGTTATCACAAAGTTCAGATTGGGAACTGTAGATGCTACTGGACTTTTCAACGGATGGTATATGCGTTATCCGTTTGCGTCTACTAACGCCTACTTGGCCGCTGCGACTAGCTATTGCAACGGTGGTGTGGATACGGACACTAAAAGCCATATCATCTTCTCCGCTTCCATTGTTGGAACGAATGATATGACCAATGTCGCTCTTATGGCTTACAACGGTGCTCTGGATCCTTTAAACCCTCCGAACGTCTTAAGTTCGTTTTTCGATGGTACCGTGGCTAATCCTACCTTCCAATGGTTTGCGCCAAATGGGACTATTAAATCTGCAACCGACGGGTTGAGGGACGCTCAGGGCTCTGGAAATCGGTATACCATGACGACTGTGTCAATCCACGTTGACCTCGAACTATTGAAAACTCTAAGACAAGCTTGGTTGAACATGACCACTATGGATCTTAGGGTAAAACCCGGGTTTCTAGTACAATTTGCCTTCCAACCAGTCAGCGAGACATGGATCGCAGCCAGCGCAGCCAAGGGTGGAAACTCTATGGGCATTACATCCCCACTAGCTGTTATGTGGATTCAGCTCCGCTGGGATCTAGCCAGTGATGACGCTGTCCTATTGGATTATTCCAGGAAATTGATCCGCCGATTCGAGAAACTCGCCAAGGACGCTGGAAAGCTGGCGAAGTTTAGGTATTTGAACTACGGTGACCGGTTCCACGCTCGCGATATTATTCCATCTTATGGAAAGCAGAGTGTGCGGAGGATGCAGCGTTGCAAGAGGATTTATGATCCTACTAATGTCTTTGGGAGGTTGGTACCGGGTGGGTTTAAGGTTCCGGGGTATTAATTAGTTAATTGTTAGTTCTGGGGGTGTGAACTTGTATTAATTAAGGATGATGTACGATGTACGATTAATATTCTTCCGCACAAGGAGAATATCCTGTCATGATAATTTATAAATTTACTCCAAGGTATATTGGCGATATGACTGTGTTCTGATGAAGTTGTAGAGACTATTTTCGTACTTGCAGGACGATAGCTGTGGCTAAAGATAGCAGTTTGTCTATACGGAGCAGAGTCGTAGCTTCTTTATCTTAAGGTTGTATATTATGTTGGATTCTTTGCGTTGGGTCCATGTTCGGAATCGAAATTGTCTTGTGACCAATCAAGAAAGTTGAACCACTTCTGCATCGTGCTGTGAAACCATATTGTTCCTATTGTTCTAGAATTCTATCGACTATTTATATTTAGTCGAACTTCAAACTGTATAAGAGTTCTGCTAATATCGCATTCAATACGGTACTTACACCGTATGAAGGCCTGCTTTTGGGAGGGTCCGTATTCCTGCACCACCGTCAGCCCGTAACTATCCACAAAGGCACCAATGCATGATGACGATACAGTATATACTGGTAGACCTCACATCCAACATCAATCATCATAACGGTGCACTGATACTGCACCGTCAGCAAAAAGAACAAGACCTTAATCGATCTGAGAGTAAAAAAAAATGCAAAAGAAGAAGCTCTCGAACGGGGAGTCGAACCCCGGTCTCCCGCGTGACAGGCGGGTATCTTAAACCGTTGGACGATTCGAGATGAGTTTTTGTATTTGATGGAGTCCAAGAGCTGGGAATTGGCTATATCAATCTTGACTCCACGAGGAGCTCACCTGGATTCTCTTGTGTACCCTCGTGATTGTATCTACTAGGTGTGTATTGGCAATGCCGAGGCATTATCGCAATTTGCCTGAAGAGTTCCTCATAATTTCCCTGTGTAGTGCCTTGATAGAGCATAGTATGGAAAAAAAAAAAAAAAGTCGCGATAAAATTTTCAGCGGTGAACCCTTGCACCAAGCCGCTGAGTTGCTGGTGTTTGTTCAGGGTTTTGTTTAAAATTGTCTGGTTACGAGACTGGTTTTGTTTGCCGTTGGGGCGCTCCTACCACATTGTGTTGTCGCACACACCGGCAAAAAAATTTTCCCTCGTCTGGAAACCCGACTATAAAAGGCCCAGCTGCCCCCAATTCTTTGGAATTTTCTTTCTTCTTTTTTTTCTTTAGACCACACTTCGTACGTCAACCCCCCTCAAAGAGATCGAGCTTCTCTCGACACCACAGTATCGAATGGAATTTGCTAACAACCTCACAGATAGGATCTTTTCTATAGTGTACATCCTCTTTTGAATTCTTTAAAAGAGCCACTTTTCCAATCCTGGCTGATGACTGGATGGTCTATCCTAATTACCTCGCTGCCACAGAGTGAAGCCGATTATATGTTACCCGTTGCATTTCTTCGGAACGCGATGAGGTGGTGATGATCTCGACCCACTTGCTTGACCTCGTCTTTTCTTCGGAGAGCGAGTGATGGCATTTTGGGTTGGCAGCGATGGTGGTCTGACAGGTTCTTTCAAATGATTCTTCATTTCATTCGGGATGGAGATGAGGTTTGGGAGGTTATTGGAGAGGTTTCTTTGGAGGTTCAGAGGATACGCGGTCGTTTTCATCATTTTCATCATCTTCTTTCGTTTTTACCTTCAGTTCTAACTAGTATAGTTGGAAACAATTCAATTCATTCTATTCTGTTGATCATGAAATCTCTATCGTCTCGTAGCCGTAGTCGTGAATTCTAGATCGCCGTGTGATGGTATCGCCGCTGTAGCTCCCTGGTGTAGCGAAAAAATTTTGTTAAAAAAAAAAGTTTTTAGTGCGGGTCGGCGTTTGTCGCGTGCCCACCTGCCCTGCTGCCCTGCATCAAAACGCCATGCCCGTCGCCAATCTCATGTACTGCGCAACGTAACGAGTACTCCATACGGCCAGCTCCCGTCGATGATCATGGGATGACTGCTCGACGACATCGGCGTCTCGTGTCCCCGGCGAGCTCTCCAATCTGCACATTTGAAGCTAGCGACCAAGCAATTCCAAACTGTCATAGCCTCGAATAACTGTCAGTGCTCTAGCGGGCCCTTCACCTCGTGTGGGGGCAAGTTTTTTGTGGAGGAATTCCCCACGAGAGCAAAGCTCAGACACATCGATTGGAGAAAACTCCATGGAATGAAAGAATGCCATCTAAGCAAGGTGTCCGTGTCTACTATGTATATACGTATGTTATATGTCCGATTTCTAGACTTCTTTGAAGCCGGTGATGTCAGTGGTTGTGACGGTGAAAAGCTGGTGTCTTCGATGGAATGCAGGCAGGTATTCTGTGCGTATGCAAAACACTGCGCATAAACATGCTTTCCATCCAAAAACCTACGAATAGCCTCTCGAGGACGAAGAAAGAGAGCTGCAGGTTAATATGTTAATATCACCAAGGCTGCACGGCATTCCTGTCCCTGACCCAGGATTACGGTTGGCTGCAAGGCCAGGGGTCATCTGATCTCTTCTCATCCCTCTCAACCTCTAGCTCCCTCTCAACCTCGAAATTGGGGGTTCCATCGCTTTTACACTCTCAACCAAAACACAATCCACGTCGGACGAGGCGTTCGTAATGCTGTCGCCGGGCCAAATCTCCGCTCTTCGCTGAGTGTCCGCTCCCCGGAGATGAAGGGCCGTCGATGCAATGGCGTATGTCATCATTGTCACACGGTTTGCACCCTGAAGTTTGGGGTTTGTGAGAGGGTGGATCTTAAGCTTAAATACGTCGATGTTGGAACGAGTTCTGCACGTCACCGAAAACTAACAGAACTCCTTTAGTTTCAACGGACAAGCAAAGATCACCAGAGCTACCGAGCTTTTTTTTCGTCTCCTCTTCTCGCGTGTCTCCCTCTGATGCAGCTAAACTCTAGCTCCAAAAGGCAGATCGAATGTCGAGGGTGGTTTTGGGGGTGGTGGGAGAATGGTGGTGGACATAGACCGCTTCGCCGTTTCGGAGCACGCCCGACAGTTAAGGGAAGCTCCTCCCTCTGGATAGCAAAGTGAAGGGGAACCGCCCCGGATCGAGCTTGCATTCTAGTTTGTTCCCCTTTTGATGCTGCTTGTTGAAAATATTCGCATGCTTGAGCTTGACCATCCTTGCAGCGATGAGCTCCAGAAGCCCCAAAATGCTTATTTACTATTACCATACGAAAGCTACCGCTCCTTTCGGGGAAATTTAAAGCGTGGGGGAGGAAAAATAGCGGGAGACGACGATGATGGGCGAGAACCGACGAATGAGCTTTTCGGACAACTTTAATTCTGGCAGGTTGGATTGGCTGAAAACATCGGTCAATCGAGACGACTAAGCGATGGGGGAATGCGGAGGGCCTAAAAATCAATTATTTTATTTTATTTTATTTTTTATTCAATCAATTTTATTTTATTTTATTTCTTTTACTTCGAACGCCGTGCAAATGAGACAGAGAGGGGACGAGAGTTGCGGAGACGAACAGGCATGGTAGCCCTGTCGGCCTTTTCTAGCTTGAGCTGTGAAGTCATAACGCTCCCCTTAGCCTCATTGACCGAGAGAAGGAAAGAAAGAAAGAGAGAAAAACCAGTGGAGTTCCCCTTCAGCATTAGTTTCTTTATAATCAAGTATTCCAGCCCTTCTTTTTCTTGTCAAAGAAAAATTCCGAATTCCCAATTCTCTAGCAAAATCCTCCATTTCTTGAATCGTAGCCCTGCTTCTGCACTCGAATTGCGTGGAAGTATCGTAGTCAGCTTGAGCAGCGGGATGAGGTGGACTTGCATAGCTTGGTAGCATATAATTCCTATAAAAGTTTGGCCGACACCGTTTCCACCCAGCAATTACTCCCATCCGCCCATCACGAACGACGATTCGACGCTTCCTCAATTGACTCCCCTTCTCTCCCAGAATCTCCTGCAAAAATAATATACTTTACCTGTTCCCAGAAGTATTTATTGCCGGGTGTCTTTGTCCTGTTCTCTCCTCTTTCACCGGAGATATCTCGCCCGAGAAGAAGCTTGGAAGAGTTAATTCCGACCAAAAACCTGCCAGAAGACACTCATTATTATTCTTCAGCTCTACAGCATCTCCTACCTTGCTATCTTCATCCTCTTCATTTACAAGTACCTTCCTTACGACGACAATTGCTCGCTAAAGCTATCGTCAACTTCGTTTCTGGCATCTGACTACCACCGGCCGTCCATTGGGCCACCCGCCAGCAAACTACAGCAAAAGAACCAAACCCCACGTAGAAAACCTTACCAGACCGAAAAGATGGAGAGCGGACCTTACGCACCGGAGCTGGGAACCTCTCCATCGACCATTGTCCACCCTCAAAGGCTCGAGCAGATTGTTCCTGCTATTGCCAAAGCCTCTCTCGAAGCCGAGGGCATCTCCGTCCACTCCAATATCGCCAATCCGGATGATGCTCCCCGTACCGTAGGGGTTCTCCGATATAATACATCACACGATTCATTGCACGAGTTTGCACCGGCCCATATTTACTATGGAGATGACCATGATATCGGGTCTACCAAGAAAGGTGCTGTTCGTAGCAAAGTCAGGACGTACTCGACTTCGGTAAGTCTATCCGGGTTTGATTTAAATAAATCGGGTTGTTTTGAAGGTCATCGGCATATTAACGAGTTTGGTTTTATTATATAGGCTGCTATACCCTTAGAATCCAGTTCTAACCAGCCAAGGAGTGGCGGACGCAGACGTGCATCGTACGGTAAGGTCCCGAATTCCCCCCAACTCGTGTGTGCTGCATGTGGCTAATTTGAGCTATATTATGATTTACAGATGAACCGTCTTCTCTCCCCCGCAAGTTCTTCATCAACGTCGTTACCACTCTCCAGTCCCTCCTCGAGTCCGAAGACACGGATGGAAATTACCAGATCACCATCGACGATGGAGGCCCTAAAACAATTACCTTGGGAACTGCCAACTCTGGTGGATACAACCGTGCTGATATTCGAGGCACTTACATGTTATCCAACTTGTTGCAGGAACTCACGTATGCCAAGCAATTTGGACGCAGGTACATTGTTTTGGATGAAGCTCGTTTGAACGAGAATCCTGTCGACCGTCTGTCTCGATTGATCAGAACCAGCTTCTGGGATGGCCTTACCCGTCGTATTGATGCCAGTGTTATTGAAGTCGTTGGGTTTGATCCCAAGGATCGTACGGGTGACCCACGACCACGCATCTACGTCCCTATTGGGGCACCGGAGCAATTGGAATACTACCAGAAAGTAGCCACCGATCGTCCAGAGTTGCGACTGGAGGTTATCCAGCTCCCCAAAGACATCACACCCGATTATGTCAAGTCCCTCAACGATAAGCCTGGCTTGCTCGCTCTCGCCATGGACAAGGAAATTGATCCCAGAACCGGTCAGGTCAATCTTATCGGAAAGCCATTCGTTGTCCCTGGTGGCCGTTTCAATGAACTCTACGGATGGGATTCATACATGGAGTCGCTTGGTTTGATTGTGGACAATCGAGTCGACCTTGCGAAGTCCATGGTTGAGCACTTTGCATTCTGCATCCAGCACTACGGAAAGATCTTGAACGCCAATCGATCCTACTATCTTTCCCGCTCGCAGCCGCCGTTCTTGACGGACATGGCTCTCCGTGTCTACGAACGAATCCGACACGAACCTGAATCCAAGGAATTCCTCCGAGAAGCACTCCTCGCAGCCATGAAGGAGTACCATCA